GCATCCAGGGCTGGGTTGAGGCGCCTGTCCTCGCTGTCCAGAGCGATGCCAAGGGCGCCGCGCCTGCTGCTCCCGTGGCTGACGACGTTGCTGCCGCGGATCAGAAGACTATTGTCACGGAGTGGGCCAAGGAGTTTGACCTCGGTGACCTGTTTAGTGGTCTTGCTTCTGCTGGCGATGAGGACGAGGCGATGGAGCAATAAGGGGTGGTGCAGTATAGTAATGGAGAGAACGTAGTGAGAGGAGGAGAGGGGAGTACATGATATCAAAAGAGAAAGTGGAGGAGATGTTGTGGTCCCATTTCTTGGGTTTTAACTCCCTCATGAAGAGCCTGGCTGGCTGTTAGATTCCTCATTTTGTTTCACATGGCGTTTTTGGGGCGGTCCAAAGGAAAAATAAAAAGTAAAGAATGACGATTCAGCCCGTTGTCCTCATTCAAATCTGCACATACACTTTCATCCGGAATGTCCCTTGCTTTCATTTGATTTGGTCCTTATAGGATTATAGACGATTCTGTCATCCCGAGTGACCTCCTGCTTTCCATCCGCCCAACGATATTTGGTTGTGTGCAATCAGATGGCGATCCACAAACGGCCATGATGCGATGCCGAATCACAGCTCAGCGGTTGAGAAATTTGCGCTTGGTGGTTGACTTGCTGAACAACATAGCTATTTCAATACTAGTCTCTCCCCGTCTTAGTCGAAGATTGAGAACTTCGACTCGATCCCAACTCCATTGTGCTCTTTGAATGTCGCGTAAGCTGAGCTAGGGCAGCCGGCGGAAGAATTGGGAGCCATCTCGGCCCACGGGAAGTCGACGTCTTCACCTACATCTAAAAGATCCCAGCAATCTGATTGTCAGCAAGCACTGACTTCGCTGATAGATGGGCTGACAGGATAATCGGATCACTTACCAGGGTAAAACCACAGTCGCCTCAGGATCCGGAAATGCATCCAGTCTTTTCCTAACCGGGGAACTCTCCTCCGCAAGTTGTGCTTGAAGACTGTAAGCATATAAGAATGTACAATGTCTTCAAGTTCGCCAACCATCATGTCTGGCGTCTTTCCAGCTAACTTCTGAAGTACCATGCACTCCACCGAGGGATTTGGGCGGTCATTTTCAGGGAATTTCTTTAGCAGGGTCTGTAACTTTGTGGTCCGCCGTCCGCATGTCGTCCAGACTCTGTACGCAGTCTCCAGATGACCCTGAGAAAGAACAAGCGATGAATTCTGCGGCGCGAATGGCTTGGGGTTGTCGGCGACATTGGATGTCTGCCGAGACTGGTGTGTGGCCGTAGGTGCCAACGGCCTCTCACCGGCAGGTGCTGTTTTCTCCATGGCAATAGACGTAGCCTGCCTCTGCTTCATAGGTGTCTTCCGCCTCGGTACTGTCGAGTTCTCAGATGCCGCACCTGTCACATCCACAGCCTGGACAGTCGCCGGCGCCTTTGATTGCGGTGTCGCCTCGCTGGTATCTGGTTGAAGGCTCACAATGCCCATGATGATCGTATTCTCGCTGTGATCCAGAATTCTGTCGAGCATAGCATGGGCCTGCTGGCGAGATCCATGAAAAGCGAAAGTTTCTTCTGAGAGATGGTCTATCACGGGCTTGCCAAGGCGTCTGGTGTTGCTGATATTGACGGTGATGTCTCCAGCGTCTTCAGTGTTCAAGATGACTCCGAGGCGTCCGAAGACAGGCTTGGTGTTGTCGGAAGCGGGTGACGACAGTTTGACTCGCTTGGCCGGTGGTTGAGAGGACGCCTCCGCGGCAGTGACGCCGTTACCTTCCATCTTGAGTCACTCCACGGATGAAGGAAACGTCAGTAAACCAGCCGAAAGAAGGTGCACTTTGGAAGGGCAAACCTGGTAAGGAGATTGACTTTGATGGTTTTGTAATTTGGAAGTTGGTTTGGGTGGGTTGTGGGGAAGAAGAAGGTGGTGAAGGTAAAGGCTGAATATTGCAGGAAGGGACGCCCGAGGCACATGCTCCCCCTTTGGCAATGCATTCACTGAGTGGTGTGGGACACTCGCCCAGGAGAAGGCAGGTTCGGACAAGTGGATGATAAAATAATCCGCTCACTACCTTACAGTGTGTATTATAACTTTCTCTTTCTTTGTCGCTATTTCATAGATATTATATAACGAATATACTCGAAGGACTACTGACTGACATTGATTATAATGCCAGTCGTGGTAGTGATAATGGTAGTGAAGGTAATAGAACGAGGCTGTCAAGACTAATAAAGCTCTATTTAAATCTAGTACTACTTCCCAGACTATTCGTGTGGGAACTCAGAAAGATAGAACTTCTTCGTTTAGTTATGTCCCTTATAAGAGAAAACAAAGTGTTCTATGGCCGTTATTTCATGAAACGCTCGCTTTACTATGTCAACTATGTACATGGCAGATCTGTTTACCAAAGGCGCCCTCGTCTTGTACGGAACTTCAGGTTACTTCATATCCCTGATAATTCTACTGACTTCGGTGAATTGGAATACCAATTTTTCGTAAAGGCTGTTTTATTCATATCAAGAATCTAGTATATTGTGTTCAGATCAATCCATGGTAGGTCGATGTAGCGGCATAGTCCCACCTACTCCCTAACCTGAATCACGCATGGTAGAGCTACGTTCGGAAGTGATAAGAAATTTGATCTCATTCGCTCGCACGCGAGATCACGTCGTAGGCAGTTGTTGAGACCATGTTCATGACCTGGGCAGATGCGGTCAGATAAGTAGGTAGGTGACTTCTGCATTGCCTGGGCTGCCTTCTCTATCAAACGCCCCTTCCCGAAGGAGGTGAATCATGCTCGGGACCTACCTACATAGTGGACCTTGCCTTATTGTAATTCACTCTGAGTACGTACCCACGTGACGCGTGGATGCCAGAGGTCGGTGAGGTCGTCCCCATTTTCCTCCTACCTGCAAACGCCCCTATCCTGCACTTCACTCCCTTCACCTCAAAACATCACGTTTTTTTCCATTCGCACATCAACAGCACACTGGTCGAGGTTTTCAAAGCGCTACACACAAAAAGATCGAAAGGTCTCCGCCTACGTGCGCGCCAGAAGCTCTCTTGTCTGACACGCTTTGCGTGTCATACCGATCGCAGCGGCCTACCTTCACAGTGTTGTCCCTGCCACGACCACGTCGAACAATCTCTCCAAATGAAGAGATCCAGACCTTCCAGTTCAAGCTCTAACGCTTTGAACTACGGGTTTGATGACGGTCGACGATCCCGAACCGAGGAGGAAAGAGACAGCAACCCGGTCAATAGACCCAAGCCGAATAATGTTCCACATGGCACCATACCGATGCAATCTCACGACATTAGACCGTCACAGAGCCTGGTAACGGAATACAACACGTCTGGGAGCGAATCAATCCAAATGAACGACCAAGAGCGCAGTGTGGAGATTCAGAAGCTGAAGGAAAAGCTGTCGATGTTAGAGAGGTCTTCTGATCGAGAATGTCAAGGCGCGCCATACTCGCCTGTGCGACCCAACCTCAACGACTTCAAGTCAGGGTCCTACTCTGATCCTCAGAAGCTCGAGTATCAGCACGGCATGCACCCTGATCGTGACGAGCAACTCGTCAGGCCTCCCTCCAGACATCGAAGCAGCTCCATCGACCGGGCTGGTTGGAACGAAAACCGCTCCGATCACGTAGGCTCCTTTGGCCGTGACCATCGTAACGACACCCATAGAGATACACAGCGATCCGTTGCTTCCCAGTCGGGTATCCAGAGGGGGGGGTATCACCAAGGTTCCTCTACGAAATCATTCCGAGGCACCTCCAGTAGTAGATACAACGCCAATCGTGCCCACCATACACAGCAAAGGCCACACGACAGAAACTCCCAAGACGAAGCGAGATCGGCGCCGCCTAACGCTCCCGTGGCTCCCGCAGCGAATTCAAAAGCTGCCCAACACCTGAGCAGCGCTGGTCAGAAGCGAAACAAGGTCTACCACGACACCGACATCCGCCGCCACAAGCCGCCCTTTCATGGCAAAGTGAAGATGACAAGCGAGGAGCAGACCCAGAACCAAATTACTACCTCGCAATTCCTGTACGGTGATCGCTTTGACCCTAACAACACCTGCTCCAACTGCGGCCACGCCGGACATTGGCTCGGCGACTGCGTCTTTCCCGACGACAACGGCACCATCATGGGATGTCCGATCCATAACACGAAGCTTCACGTCCTCGACGACTGCCCAGACCTGCCGCACATGAGCTTGCAGCAGCGCGTGACACTCATGGTCGTGCGCAGGAGGAACAAGCCCGCGATCCGGTCGAGGAAGCCGTGGATCGAGTTTGTCAAGGAAGCTATGGGCCAGGGCCTAGAGGAGCTGGTCTGGGCGCCCTCGGTGTGGACGCAGGAGTTTGTGATGCGCATGATTCACGACCGCAAAGCCCATCAGCCGTGGCTCGACTTCGATTACGGACGGGACCTCGTGTCCAAGTTGCCTGTCGATCCGGAGACACAGGGAGATCTTAGGTCTTTGCTCCGGAAGTGTTCTTTGTGGGACCAGGTTCATAGGCCTGTCCGTCAGGCTCGCTGAGCATGCTATTCGTCTTTCGAGGGTTCGGGTTTGGTGTGTTCATATCTGTGACCGGATGTCTAGTATACGAGGTTGAGGCGAAGATGGACGCGGGATGGGTTTGATGATGAATGATATGCGTCCCTACAGTCTGTGTACGATACTCTAGATAGGTCACGTCTGATACTATCTTGGTGCGGTGTCATGCTGGGCTCCAAAACTTGTGATATTGAAGGGTGCTGCTTCCTTGTAAACATAGGATCGAAGCATGGGAACTGCGTAAAGACACGTTCTATTCCCATTTCACATAACAGATTTTGCAAACCGTGAGTAGGCATAGGTAAACGCGTTCGTTTCTGAACTTTTAGGTTGGCTAAATTTTGGCCATCTTTCTACTTCAACATCTCAAAACACGCAAGAATTCCGTATTTTCATTCCCACATCACAGCGCCCCCCCTCAAACGGCAACAAGCTCCATCTTGACACCTCTCTTACCCGTCATCTCATCCTTCTCATCCGTAACCTTGACCTTGACCTTTTGGAACAGCTCCACCCGCAGCTCCTTGCTCCCGCTCGTGGTAAGCACATAATTCTCCGCGTCAAAGGTGCTCTCGGGCTCGGGCTCCGCGAGGTCCCGCAGCCGAATCAGGCCCTCGATACCGAACCGCGGGACCAACACGACGAAACCGTTGCTGAAGATCTTCATGACAAAGGCCTCCTCCTCGGCGACGCGGCCCTTGAGGGCCTGGCCGACGTAGTAGGCGATGCTGGCGCGGCCGGCGAGCTGGGCGTTGCGGTGGCGGACGTTGATGTTCTTGCAGACGGCCTCGAGGCGGCCGCGGCTGCGGACGGCCGGGTGGATGGCCTCGTAGCCGATGGCGGCGGCGAGCTGGCGGTGGGCGACGAGGTCGGCGTACCGGCGGATGGGGGAGGTGAAGTGCGTGTAGATTTCCGAGGCGAGACCGTAGTGGCGGAATTCCGGGTAGGCCTGGGTGCCCGAGCAAAAGTACTCGGCGGACATCATGCAGCGGGTGGCCATGATGCGGACTAGGGTGTTGAAGAAGGGGTCGACGGGGTCGACGCAGGTGTCGAGGGAGTCGGCGAGCGCCTTGCTCGAGTCGACGCGGAGCTCGAGGCCCTTTTTGACGCGCAGCTGGTTCGAGAGCTCGTCAAAGTTTGTCTTTGGCGGGGCGCCGTGGCGGCGGAGGATGGCGGTCTGGGGAAACGCCTCGTAGATTTTGGCGGCGACGCTGACGTTGGCGAGAAGCATGAACTCCTCGACGAGGGACATTGTGTCGAGGTGCTGCTTCGTCTTGACGTCGATGGGATCCGACGTCTCCGACTCCATCTGCACCTTGACCTCGGGGGAGGACAGGCTGAGGGCGCCGGCGTCCATGCGCTTCTGCTTCAGCTTCTTGGACAGCATCATGAGCGTTCGGATGCTGTTGGTGAGGTCGTCCTGCTGCGAGGCGTCGTCGACGCGCAGCTGGGCCGCCTCGTAGCTGAATGCCTCCTTTGACTGGATGACGGATTTGGTGAAGCGGGCGCCGACGACGTCTGCGTTGGCATTCATCTCCCAGATACAGGAGAAGGCGTAACGCTCGACGTAGGGCTTCAGCGAGCACAGGTCGGTACCGAGAAGCATCGGCAACATGTCGATTCTCTTGTCGACTAGGTACACGGTGGTGCCTCGCAAGCTAGCCTCCGTGTCCATGGCATTGGCGGGCTTGACAAAGTGGGAGACGTCGGCGATGTGGACGCCAACCTCAAAGTTTCCGTTGGGGAGAGGCCTTGCGTGGAGAGCGTCGTCGATATCCTGGCAGCCGATGGGGTCGATACTGCAGATGAGGAGCTTGCGGAGATCCTCTCTGTCCCTCCAGCCGGGATCTTCCAGGCTCTGTGGTACTCTCCAGTCGTGGCCCTCCTTTGGCAGACAGTCGAGCACCGTCTTGGGGAAGGGACGGTATTGCACGTCGTACTCCAGCAGGAGGGCCTCCGTCTCCGCGGCCTTGGTCTCGAGCTCACCAAGCGAACGCACAAAGTGGCCCACGGGGTGCCGGGAATCGCGGTCCCAGGCGTCAATCGTGACCAACAAGCGCTTGCCGAGAAGCTCGGAAACCTGTCTCGAGCGCAGCTTGATCTTGGGAATGCGCTTGTCCATGGGGATGAGGAAAACATTGTCCGACTTGCGGCCCTGGCCGCCGCTCTTGCTCGCAGACGAAGGGTCAATATGTCCGACATACTGCCGCCAGTTACGCTTGATGACGCCGACGACCTTTGCCGTCGGTTGCGGCCGGCCTTCGGTGCTGTTCTTATGCGTCTTCTTCACCTCCTCCTGCAGTGCCTTGCGCTCCTTTTCCGAGACAAAGTCCTGCGCTTCCTCCCCGTCGGCGTTCTCGTCGCGCGTGACCGCCTCTTCCTCGATGATCTTGGTCGACGGCTCCTTCCACTGGTCCTTTGGCAGAACCTCAACCACGACTACATCGCCGCTTACGGCCCGGTTGATGTTCTCTCTGCCGAGGACGATGAGAGGCTTGGGGAATGCGGGTACGTGAATGGAACCCTCCAGGTAGTTGTACGGCGAGACATTGAAGATGCCCTGGTGAAGAAGACCGGCCTTGACGCCGGTCATCAGCTTCGACATGGTGAAGTATTCCGGGTAGATCGGGCCGGCGGGCTTCTTGGAAAAGCTCGAGTTCCGCGACTCGGCAATCATGTCCAGCAACCTCTCGCCATCCTCGAGACCGCCGACGTACTCGGAGAGTGACATGGCCGCGACACCTTCGGTCTTGGCCTTCCTCAGGCAGTCCTGGTCGTCGCTCAGCATCACGACGGCGGGCACCGTCTTGGCCTTTGTCTGCGCCAGGTGGTCGGCGTACCACTTCACCGCCTTGCGCACGGCGCGGTCGTTGCGGTCATTGACCGTCTCATTGGACTCCCGGTTGACGTACGTCTCGAGGCGGAAGTCGTTGAAGAAGACGTAGAAGCGCTTGTCCTCGCTCTTTGTGAGGCCGACGAGGCGGTTGTACAGGGGTAGCGAGCGGTTGCGCAGCTCCTCGAGCACCGTCTGCAGAATGACAACGTCGTAGAAAGCCGAGCTCTGCTCAAAGAGGTCCATGGCGTTCAGCAACGCGTTGGTGTCGGGGACGATGTAGTGCCCCTGGGGGAACGCCTTTGTCCCCGCCGGCTTGTCAGAGAGAACGAAGGGTTGAACTGGGAGGCATTGTTTAGTTGTCATGTTCGTGCGGTAAATCGAAAATGGGGTAAACTCACCATTGTTGGCTGCATCTCTGGGCGCCGTCTGCAGACAGACCCGGCACAGCTTTGACGAGCAGGGGATATCTTGACGCAGGTAAACCTCCCTCACAATCTTCTGAACCTTGCCCTTTCTCGTCGAACGGACGTAGACCTTGCTCGAGATATTGGCGGCGAAAGGGTCCGTCTCGAACGAACGCTTAAGACTCGTCATTTTTTCTGACTTTTCGATTTCTCAGTCGCCTTTTTGTCGAAAAAATGAGTTAGCGACGATGGCGATGAATTTTCTTTGGATTTATTTGGTTCGCCGCCCCTTCACACTGGGCTGGGCACTCTTTGATGATGAAAATTGAAGTGAGGTGAGGCGCGGTCACCGTGGGGCGGCTGACAAACGAATCAGGAAGCCTGTGGCGCTTGAACGGTTCCTTATCGAGAACGTCCGTTCTTCCTATCTCTTATCGATAATGAAACCATCAGCGTCATTGCATCACCTCCCGTCACCACCTCACCGGGCAGACGTGACACCTCAGTTCTGGTGTACCAAAGGTAGGTACGTACCGCAGACTTTCGGTTCCGAACGACGCATCATGCCGTGCACCCCAAGATCAATATCGTGGTCCGCACCTCTCGACAGCAGCTGGACGCGACAGGCTTGCCAACCCGTGTTGTCACCATTAATTTAAGGAGGGCTGTCTAGTCCTCGCCGACAGCCTCATCGGGAAGCAAAATCTTTGTGCTAGTCGACGCGGGACTCGGATGAGGCTGGCCCGAGGAGAGTCAAGTCACCAAGGGAATCTCGTATACGGGCACTCTTCGATTATTCAATGGCTTGTCATGGTGGCTCACCATGGCGCGCCGCGTTCTCCCTTCTGTCGACCGACGGATGGGTATTGTGAAAAAGAGATACGATAAGCCGCCGAGCCGAATCTCTCGTACTCAAGCATCGCTGTACTTGGAGATGCCCACGAGAAGCGCGTAGAGTTAAGATTCAGCCGCCGACTACCTAGATAAGCAAGCAATCCCGCTGGGTCCTAAGCTACCCGACTCCCCCGTGTGATCCTCTGTCGTCGTCGGCGTCGTCTCTTGTCTTCCCCGACGAGCATGGTCGCACGGCGTCGTTCCCGAGTCTCTGTCTCTTTACGTTGCGCGCCCCCAGTTCCGTCACGGCGGGCGCCACGGCGGGAAGAGGGAGAAAAAAATAAAAGCAAAAAAAAATTAAAGCTTGTGTAACTTTGACACTTTCTCGCTGGTTACACAGAGGAGAGGAGGGGGAAAAGAAGAATAAGAAGCTACAATATCCAAAAATAAGAACGACGAAGGAAGCGATGAATGGGATTCCTTCGTCCCATCAATCGGGAAACAAACCAACCTGTTTCGTAGACACGCCCCCTTGTGCTTGGTCTTTCGTGTGTGTGTGGTTGTAAGTATGTGGATGTTTGTGTGTGTGTGTGTATGTGCTCGGAGAGTGTGTGCCGCCTCAAACTTGACGTTTTCCCTTCTCCTCGAAAAAAGAATCCAACTCGTGGGAGGGGTGTGTGTATGTGTGCCGCCGGGAATAAAATCCGTAACAGAAAACCGATTAATCGAGGGATCAGAGCGGCGCGAAGACCGGGATTGTAAAAGCTTTTGCTTACTGATATTCCGCGTTTGGTTATCAATCATCAAATGGGCTTACCTTACTTCGCCCATGATATGATCTACAGGAAGGAACCACGAAAGAATGAAGAAAAGGGCTACGGTTACGGGGACTCTAACCGGCCTCTGGCCGCTTTTGCCACGCCATGTCAGGTCAGGTTGCCCTGCTTGGATCGGCCGCCCCGGTTCCGTGGCCCAGGCGGCCAAGGGGGAGGGGAGAGCGCACGCACACTTGCACGCACGCACGCATCGCTCGCGAGGCCACGGCGGGAACGGCCCTCATGTCAGCGTTGCATCCTGCTGGAAACCGTAGTCCCCTTCCCTCGATCTTACGGGGGAGAATCATGAAAGGAAGGGGAGGGGATGGGGGCGGCATGGCATGGCAAGGGCCAGGCTGGCTTCTGCAGGCGTCCGAGAACTCTTGGCCAGGCGCGGGAACGCACCAGGATGTGAGTGAGAAAACGGTTTTGCTTGACCAGCAGGAACCAGAGATGAGACGTCGGCTGCAGAAGGCTGGGCCGTTCACCTCTCTGCCCATTGTTCTTCCATCTTCCATCGGTCCAAAAGGAAGAATTGTCGGAGCCAGGCCAATTGAGGAAGAAACCCAATCTGGGCTTATCGAGTCTGTAGCGGCTCGGCCATGAGAGTTTTCCCAAGTCATGACAATAGAGAAACATCGTTTCGGCCGGGAGACCGGGATTGTGGTACTCGGGGCTTCTTCCTGCATCGCAGTGCATCGCAGATGGTAAAGAGTTCGAAAACGTGGGCTTTGTGGGACCCTGAAAAACCTTGGCCGAAGCAGCTTATTCTTCTGCAGTGCCTTGGTGCTTCCAGCATCAAGTTGCTGGGCATCAGCAGACATTGAGGTTGACGTCCAAGGGGGCTCGAGAGCCACACCAAGGGCCACGCCCCGTCGCATTCGCAGCGTATTGCGTGTACGAGTCAGGCGCATGAAAGCAAGAGCAAACAACCTCCCTAGGTTCGGCTCGTCGTCTGAATAAGCTATGAGCAAGAGTCGTAAAATACCGTAAGCTGAGGAAGGCGAGACAGAATAGGAACGGGGCATAAATCCACGACGACACACACACGCACACATCTGTGCGGAGGCGGGAGCTAAAAAAGCGACTGTCACGGGCTGGGCCAAACCTGTTTTACAAATGTGTTAATCGTCTCCACCGGGAATCGTTGAAAGAAACATGTTGCGCCACGGAGTGGCCAAGGTGAAGCGTACGGGGGCCAATGGCGGTTCTCGCGTGTCTGGACACAACGTCTAGCAAGGTCCATCGCTGTCGGTCCTGGTCCTGGTGGTATTCCGTCGACCGGAAGGCAGTGTAAGGTATTGCGCAGATAGGTAGGTAGGTAGTTAGTTACACTGGCCATGGCAACCGAGAGAAGCGACGTGATGTTCAAGTGCCGATGGTACCGCTGTGTCGATTGCACCGCGAATTGTCCTTCCGACTGGTACGGTTACCGTGTATCTGTGAGAGTTGATGAACGCCGCCGAGGCTGTCTGTCCCAAGAAGCCGGCCACTGGCTGGCAAAATGGCACACCAGTCGGCGACGGGACCCGGTTGGAGGGTCCCGCGATGATCGATCAAACAAACCACGGACGCCGGCGAGGGTTAGGTTACGTTACGCATGGCCGCCCGTAAGACGAGGTAGGCGACGTATGAAGAAGGAAACATTAAGGGCCCTTTCGGCGTCTGATGGTTGTAGCAAAAGGTAGATGGGAGCTCTTGGAAGGGTAAGAGAGACACAGACGTGAATGGATGACGGTGTGTTTTGGACGTATTGGAAGAAAGGGTGACATCGTCTTGATTGCCCCTCTTGTCCCCTCGGTAGGCCTGCTAGAGCATGAATCAGAGACTACCCAGATGAAGGAAAAGGGAAAAAAAAGAAAGCAAACCACCAAACGATGAAGGCATGCATATATCCCGTCCCTCCACCAGGGAACTTGGAGAGGGCATGGCAGGCCGCCAATCTAAGCGTACATGAGGAGATGTGAACCGTTGCCCATGAACAATTAAACGGGGGTTGGCCAAAGAGAGGGGCAGAGGCATAGCTATTATGACTTACATATGTAAGTATGTTAAGCTGGGGGTGTGATGGTTCATGGTGGTGTAAGAGGTGGTGTGGTGGTGAAGGGAAGGGTGGTGGCCGTGTCTCCACAGCGGCTAGACACCCGCAGATGTATATTGGCTGCTGGTTACTGGCTGCTGGCTGTTGTCTGCGAACAGGAAGCGATGGAGATCGGAATCGACCATGCCTGAATGGGTTCCCACAAAGGAAAAGGTGATGGGCGAGATCATCTCCATAGCTATGTAGATGCTCTTCTGCAGTTGGAGGGAACATGGAAGGGGAAGGGGGTGGGCAGGCAAGGCAAGGCAAGGCAGGGCAGGGCAGGGCAGGTCGAAGACGGGAAGGGGAGGGGAGGGGAGGTACCTAGGTGAAGGTGGGGAGCTTGGGAGCGTGATGGGAGGAGGCTGAAGAAGAAGAAGAGGTTCAGGGGGTGTGAGAACTGCGAATGGTCAGGCACGCCGCAAACTGGGGGAACAAAGGGCCGCCCCCCCCCCCCTTCTTCAACTGGAACTGGCAGCTGGGTTTCGATGGGGGAAGAGGGGATGGCACTGGATGGGTACAGTATATTGTAGTAGAGGGGATGGAGGGGAGAACCTGAAAGATGGAATGGGGGAATAGATGAGCGTTCGCTGCTGCTGCTGCACGAGCGGGTAGCCAGGGTCCAAAGGGTAGTTCCCGCACTGCAAAAAGGAAACACAGCGGGCCATGTCCACCTGCCAGACCTTGTAAGGTGTAACTACGGATACCTTAGGTAGGTTTTGCAACTTGTAGTGTCACTGCCCCGGTCTCCGTACGCAGTCAGGGAGTACAGAGTACCTACTCCCCTCGCCGTGTAAGTCGTTCCCGCCCCCGTCCATCCAGTCTCCCGTCCCGTTAGCAACGGCCCCCAGTCACCTTCCCCGGCCGGTGCCAATCTCAGTCAAGGCATGCCTTGTTCAGCCATCAACAGCAAGAAGGACCAAAATCTACCGTCATCATCATGGCTTCTCAACATTCTCTTCAGACCGATAGCATGTAGTTCATAGGCGGATCGAGGCTCGCTTGTCACTTGGCCCTATAATCATCTATTGTGTGGGCTTGACTTACTGGTGTTGTTAATTCCCGTCAGGAAGCAATAGAGGATAACCTCGATGTAGAAATGAACAGCACCATCACATTCACCACTGGCTCAACATGAGCTCACAGACACATACTAATGCTACCGAGACAACACACTACCTACCCCATACAAGGAAATAGCTTATACGGATAGCAATGGGCAGCGATTGGCGTCCACCCCAGCATGATAAGCGGCAAGCCTCAACGTTGGCGAAAGCACCTACCTATGTACCTAGCACCCCTCGCCGGCCTCTTCTGCTTCAGCCCTCCCACTTGTCTTCTACCCCAGACCATTGGGTGCCGCTGTGCCGGCATTCTCTCTTTGACAGCCACCCATCACAGCTGACAGTAGGCATGTACTCAACACCACCCATCCAGAGTACGAACATGGCTATCCGTTCC